AGCGAAACGCTTGTTTTTTTCAGAATTTGTTGAGGATGTCTCGAGCGAAACGCTTATTTGGTGTTATTGATTGTCCTCTCCTGGGGACCTGAGTTCTGAGGATCTCTCAAGTGGATTGCATGTTTTCACTTGCCCAAGTCTTGAGAATGTCTCGAGCGAGACGCTTGGCTTCACGCCTCCAAGTGGCCCAGACAGATGTCTAGCATGAGGATTTGTTGAGGATGTCTCGAACCAGAGGCTTGTTTTCACGTGTCCAGGTCGCCCAGGCGGATGTCTAGCATGAGCATTTGTTGAGGATGTCTCTCGAGCGAGACGCTTGTTTGCACGTGTCCAGGTTGCCCAGGCGGATGTCTAGCATGAGGATGTGCTGACAACGTCTTGAGCGAAACGCGTTTTTTCACGTGGCCAGGTCGCCCAGGCACAGCACAGCCCTCGTCACGGTACATCAATATCGAAACCCTTAGCATTGCAGCATGGCATGTTGCCTGGGACGTTCCGCGGAGCGTCCCGTGGCGAGTCCCCCTGGCACGTCGCGCGGTGCACGTCCATTGGCACGTTCCGTAGCGCGTCCCCTTGGCACGTCCCGCGGTGCGTGCCCATGGCACGTCCCCTGGCACGTCGCCTGGCGCGTCCCTTGGGACGTTCCGCGGCGCGTCCTCTTGGCATGTTCCCTCTGTCGATTAGTTCTGGGGCAGCTACCATCTGCTCAGGCAGCTCGAGCTTACGATCCAGATCAGTTCGGTGAGGACTCGGATGCCAGGGAGGACTCGATCCACAACGCTATATAGAGCACAATCGCGGCATGGCACATCGCAGTTCAGCACGGCCCAGCACAGCACAGCCGTCGGCACGGTACATCAAGATCGATACACTCAACTATGCACCTTGGCACGTTCCTTGGCGCGTTCCGTGGCGAGTCCACCTGGCACGTCGCGCGGCGCGTCCCCTGGCACGTCCCTCGGCACGTCCATTGGCACGTTCCGTAGCGCGTCCCCTTGGCACGTCCCGCGGTGCGTCCCCATGGCACGTCCCCTGGCACGTCGCCTGGCGCGTCCCTTGGGACGTTCCGCGGCGCGTCCTCCTGGCATGTTCCCTCTGTCGATTAGTTCTGGGGCAGCTACCATCTGCTCAGGCAGCTCGAGCTTACGCTCCAGATCAGTTCGGTGAGGACTCGGATGCCAGGGAGGACTCGATCCACAACGCTATATAGAGCACAATCGCGGCATGGCACATCGCAGTTCAGCACGGCGTAGCACAGCACAGCCCTCGGCACAGTACATCATCATCGATACATTCAGCATTGCATGTGCCCGTCGCCCAATCAGGTGTCTTTGAAATGTTGCAATGCCTTACATTTCTATATTCCTTTCCGGGTTCGTGGGTCGATCATGTCCCGGAAAGGGCGCGGGCCCAGGGTTCTCTTTTAGTAGGTTAACCCCCCGGCCCCCCTGCCACTTGGGCCGGCGAAATTATTCTGCGATAAATTACGTGCGGGAGTAGGGCCGGCGGAATTATTTTTGAGGATGTCTCGAGCGAAACGCTTGTTCCCGGAAAGGGCGCGGGCCCAGGGTTCTCTTTTAGTAGGTGAACCCACCGGCCCCCCTGCGACTTGGGCCGGCGAAATTATTCTGCGATAAATAACGAGGTCGCGTAGGGCCGGCGAATTAAAACTTGAGGATGTCTCGAGCGAAACGCTTGTGTTTCAGAATTTGTTGAGGATGTCTCGAGCGAAACGTTTGTTTTGTGTTATAGATTGTCCTCTCCTGGGGACCTGAATTCTGAGGATCTCTCAAGTGGATTGCTTGTTTTCACGTGCCCAGGTCTTGAGGATGTCTCGAGCGAGACGCTTGGTTTCACGCCTTTAGGTGGCCCAGACAGATGTTTAGTATGAGGATTGGTTTAGGGTATCTCGAACCAGAGGCTTGTTTTCACGTGTCCAGGTCGCCCAGGCGGATGTCTAGCATGAGCATTTGTTGAGGGTGTCTCGAGCGAGACGCTTGTTTGCACGTTCCAGGTTGCCCAGGCGGATGTCTAGCATGAGGATGTGCTGACAACGTCTTGAGCGAAATGCGTGTTTTCACGTGTCCAGGTCGCCCAGGCACAGCACAGCCCTCGGCACGGTACATCAATATCGATACCTTTAGCATTGCAGCCTGGCATGTTGCCTGGCACGTTCCGCGGAGCGTCCCGTGGCGAGTCCCCCTGGCACGTCGCGCGGTGCACGTCCATTGGCACGTTCCGTAGCGCGTCCCCTTGGCACGTCCCGCGGTGCGTGCCCATGGCACGTCCCCTGGCACGTCGCCTGGCGCGTCCCTTGGGACGTTCCCGCGGCGCGTCCTCTTGGCATGTTCCCTCTGTCGATTAGTTCTGGGGCAGCTACCATCTGCTCAGGCAGCTCGAGCTTACGATCCAGATCAGTTCGGTGAGGACTCGAATGCCAGGGAGGACTCGATCCACAACGCTATAGAGCACAATCGCGGCATGGCACATCGCAGTTCAGCACGGCCCAGCACAGCACAGCCGTCGGCACGGTACATCAAGATCGATACACTCAACTATTCACCTTGGCACGTTCCTTGGCGCGTTCCGTGGCGAGTCCACCTGGCACGTCGCGCGGCGCGTCCCCTGGCACGTCCCTCGGCACGTCCATTGGCACGTTCCGTAGCGCGTCCCCTTGGCACGTCCCGCGGTGCGTCCCCATGGCACGTCCCCTGGCACGTCGCCTGGCGCGTCCCTTGGGACGTTCCGCGGCGTGTCCTCCTGGCATGTTCCCTCTGTCGATTAGTTCTGGGGCAGCTACCATCTGCTCAGGCAGCTCGAGCTTACGATCTAGATCAGTTCGGTGAGGACTCGGATGCCAGGGAGGATTCGATCCACAACGCTATATAGAGCACAATCGCGGCATGGCACATCGCAGTTCAGCACGGCGTAGCACAGCACAGCCCTCGGCACAGTACATCATCATCGATACATTCAGCATTGCATGTGCCCGTCGCCCAATCAGGTGTCTTTGAAATGTTGCAATGCCTTACATTGAATCGCTTCGCTCATTCCGCCGGCCCGTGATATGGCATCGCTGGTTTTTGTCTGTGTGTTCGTTGCCCATGTTGCGCTCTTGGGGGCGGGTGTCGTTCGGACGCGTTGCGTGGGGAGTTTTGATGGTGAAGCAGTTCCCTGGGGGTCGTCTCTCGATGGGGCGAAATAGAGTCGTCGTCAAGATGCTTCTTTGGGGGGCCTCTTGGGGTCTGTTGAGAGGCCGTTCGGGGGCGCCTGGGAGACATGTTTGAAGCCTTCTGGGGCTTCTTTTGGGCCTCCTGGGAGTCTCCTGGGGCCTCTTGGCGACATCTTGGGGCCTCTTGGAGGCCTCTTGGGGCCTCTTTGGGACCTCCTGGGCGCCTTCTGGGACGGAGGGCTCCATTTTTGAGTTCTCGGTATCCCTCCTGAGTCCCTCTTGGGCCCGTCTTGGGGCCTCTTGGTCCGTCTTGGGCGGCACTTGGGCCGTCTTGAGGGCTCTCTTGGGTCGTTTCGGCGCCGTCTTGGGAGCTTCGTGGGCCGTCTTGGAGCGGTCTTGGGGGCCTCTTGGGCTGTCTTGGGGGCCTTTTGGGCCGTCTTGGGGTCATCTTCGGCGTCTTCGAGCGCTCTTTGGGCGTCTCGGGGGCCTCTTGGGCAGTCTTGGGGGCCTCTTGGGGCACTCTGAGCGCGCTCTGGGGAGCCTGAGAGGCCGCACCCAGAAGGAAAACCATCTCTGAGTAGACTTGGTCGGGCGGCGGTCGGGGTACTTTTCGCCGGGGGACCCCCAGGGGCCGCCCCGCGCGCGCGAACTAGAAATACTGTTAATACTGTTAACCAGTTACCGGAGATCTTAGCACGCCCTGGCCCGTTGGGCAGGCGAATTTCTATATTCCTTTCCGGGTTCGTGGGTCGATCATGTTGCGTGTTCCTCCGCGGGGGGGCCACGAAGGGGGGTCGGCGAGAGGAGAGCGAGGGCGCGAGGGGCCAGGGAGGAGCTGGGCGCGGAGGAGCTCCGAGAAGTTGTGCGTGCGCCCTCCTTGTGAAGATCTGACGGCCGTTGCCGCCGATCCTGAAAAACATCGATGACGACCAGGAGGGGGAGGAGGAAAAGAAGGAGGAGGAAGCGGAGGCGGAGATACGGAGGGAACGGAGGAGGAGGAGAAGGAAAAGGAGGATGAGGAGGAGGAGGAGGAGGAGGCGGAGGAGGAGGAGGAGGAGGGGAAGGAGGAGGAGGAGGAGGAGGAGGAGGAGGAGGAGGAAGAGGAGGAGGAGGAGGAGGACCGGGAGGAGAACCCCCCCATCTCGTCTTCCTCCTCGCCCCTCGCCCGCCCGCGCGCCCTGTCGCCCCGGGCCGGCCTCCCTGGGCCCTCGCCTCCTCTGCTGGCACGCCGCAGCTTTTCGCACCCGCCGCCCCCTCCGGGCCCTCCGGGCGGCGGGGCGGCGGCCGGCCGTGGGGCCCGCCCCCTCGCCATCTCGGCGGCGCGCAAGAGCGGCCCTCGTTGGACCGAGCCACCCTCCTCGTGGGCCGACGACGAGTCCGACGACGAGCCCGACGACGTGTCCGGCGACGAACCCGACGACGAACCCGACGACGTCGAGGAGGAACCCGGCGGCGACGGCGGCGGCGGCGACGGCGGTGGCGCCTGCGACGACGACGACGACGACGACGACGACGACGACGACGAAAACGGCGATCCGGGAGGCCTCCCACACTTCTCTCTTCCGCCTCCTCCTCTTCCTCCTCCTCCTCCTCCTGCTCCTCCTGCTCCTTCTGCTCCTCCTGCTCCTCCTGCTCCTCTTCTTCTTTTTCTTCCTCCTCCTCCTCCTCCTCCTCCTCCTCCTGCTCCTCCTCCTCCTCCTCCTGCTCTGCTGCTCCTCCTCCTTCTCCTCCTCCTCCCCCTCCTCCTCCTCCTCCTCCTGCCCGCCTGCCTGGGGCCGCTCCGTCGCGGCGGCCGGCGCGCCGTGCCATGCTGGAGCGCCTGCGCGAGCTGCTGGGCGGCGCCGCGTGCTGCGCCTGCGGCGTGCCGGGCAGCTCCGCGCGGGACGAGGCCCAGGCCGATGGGGCCAGCGCGCGCCACCCCAACATAGTGGAGGAGGAGGAGGAGGAGGAGGAGGAGGAGGAGGAGGAGGAGGACACATTGCTGGAGAAGGAGGAGGAGGAGGACGAGAAGGGTCGTGTCGTGTCTGGCCTCGTTGAGTGGTCCAATGCCCTGGCCGATGGTGTGGTTGAGCAGTGCCCGTCCGTCGCTCGCAAGAAAGCTGCCGTCTCAGCCAACATCCCTGAGGTCCGCTTGCGCGTGCCTGCGGGGCTAGTCATAAGCTCGGGTCGAGGCCAAGACGGTAGAACGCAATCTAGGGCTTCGGGTTATGATGTTCCAATGTTGTATTTTAGCCTTGATCGCCAGACAGAATTTCGATTACCAAAAAAGTGCCGAAGCTCGACGGTTTTCACGTGTCGGGCCCTGGGAGACATTCGCCCGACACTGTTTCGACACTGTTTCGACACTTTTGACACTTTTCCCAGTACTCGAAATTATTCAATCGCTTCGCTCATTCCGCCGGCCCATGTTGCATGATCGCTACTGCGTCGCCGTGGGCCCGTGGCCATTGTGGCGCCGCCGAGGAGGAGGATGATGAGGATGGGGAAGGGGGGGAGGAGGAGGAGGAGGAGGAGGAGAGAATGAGAAGGAGAGGAGGATGAAGATAAGTAGGAGGAGGAGGAGGAGGAGGAGGAGGAGGAGGAGGAGGGAGGGGAAGGGGCGGAGGAGGAAGCCTCTCGTTGTCATCTTGTGTTGCTCTTGGGGCCAAACAGGGTCGTCGTCAAGATGCTTATTTGGGAGGCCTCTTGGGGTCTTTGAGAAGCCGTTCGGGGGCGCCTGGGAGGCATTTCTGAACTTCTGGGGCCTCTTTTGGGCCTCCTGGGGGCCTCCTGGGGCCTCTTGGCGGCCTCTTGGGGCCCTCTTGGTGGCCTCTTGGGGGCCTCTCGGGGCCTCCTGGGGCCCTCTTGGGGCGGAAGGCTCGTGTTTTCGGTTCGTGGTCCCCCTCTTGGGCCCCTCTTGGGGCCGTCTTGGGGCCGTCTTGGGCCGTCTTGGGCGCCTCTTGGGCCGTTTCAGGGCCCTCTTGGGGCCCTCTTGGAAGCCTCTTGGCCCGTCTTGCGGCGCTCTTGGGGGCCTCTTGGGCCGTCTTGGAGCATCGGATGGCCGAAAAGGCGACAAGTCCAAAATCCTTCCAAAATCATCATACAATTTATGTTTTGCGCCTCTCGGGCCCTCTTGTGAGGCCTCTTGGAGGCCACTTGGAGGCCTCTTGGGCCGTCTTGGTGTCATCATCGGCGTCTTGGAGCGCTCTTTGGGCGTCTCGGGGACCTCGTGGGTCAGGAGGGGGGGTAGTCGATTGCGCCCCTCCCCTCGGAGGCCACGATCCTCGTGAGGGGTGTCGAAAAATTGCCCGCTCTGGCATCTCTGATCCGAGTGTCCCGGGGGTGTCCCGGGGGTGTCCCGGGGTACTTTTCGTCCTGGGACCCCAAGGGGCGGCCCCGCGCGCGCGAACTAGAATATTGTTAACCAGTTACCGGAGATCTTAGCACGCCCTTGGCCCGTTGGGCCGGCGAATTTCTGTGATGTGGTCCTAAAGTACGATGGGAGCAACACAAGCCAAGACGGTAGAACGCAATCTAGGGATGTATTAATTATGATGCAGGGCGGCGCGTTCGCACCTCTGCGCGTTGGCCGTCTCCAGCTCGCGCGCGCGCGGGGGTGCCCAAGGTGAAGAAGTTCCACGTCAAAAGCGTGCAGGCTGTGCTAGAGAGTCGCCCAAGCTGGCCTGCAAACGTCCTTTCAGTACGGGGTCGAGTGTACTGGCCTCGCCATCCAGCAGTTAGGCATGGCACGCGCCACTGTTTTGTCCGAGCGTGCGAACCTCGCACCGCTGGCAGGAGCCGCACGCTTGGCTTGATGCTGCAGGGCCGAGGCCAGCTCGATCCTGCGCTCAGGGAAGCCAAGGCTCCTACTGAGGCGATGGCCTCGGCCCTGTGGCAAGCCTGGATGCCGTGCCGCGTGCTCGCCACCATGTGCGCTTGAGCCAGTCAGCATGTCTTTTCCTTCCTGGGCGCAGGTGAGGAGGAGGAGGAGAAGGAGGAGGAGAAGATGGAGGAGGAGGAGGAGGAGGAGGAGGAGGAGGAGGAGGAGATGGAGGATGAGGCCTGGAGGTGCCTTCGTGCTGACGCTCTCGCGCCCCGGCTGGACTCTGCACGATGTTCCTGTGGTGACGCACCCCATACAGGGGTGCTCGTCGATGTTTTGCAGCTGTGCCCACGCACGATCCTCGAGCTTGTCGGTCGGGCGGTCGAAGCGTGGCAGTGGTCTCAGGTGGCCGTTGGCGAGGGCTCGGAGCACCTGCATGTTGGGTGCAATCTAGCCCTCCTGCGGCCCCTCAGCTCTCGTGGCTGACGTGTTCCGCACGCTCCAGGTGAGCGAAAGAACCTACCTGCGAAGTGTAGACGAGCATGTCACTCGGGTTCGAGGTTCGGGGACTGCAATAAGGGCCACACGTGTATGCTGATGGTGCGGTTTGGAATCCCAGATTTCTGATGTGTGCGTGTGCAGGTGGGCGATGCTCTCGATCAGGGACGACCCTGGCACTCTTCAGCAGCGCGTCGATGCCGTGGTCGCAGGCCTCCATCGCGAGCCCGTCCCTGACGTAGATGGGGCCGAGCTTCTCGCAGTCATTTACGTTATCATGCTCTCCTTGCTTCCCATCCACGTTTTGTGTCCTTTCTGATTCTGAATCTGTCGTCCGAGGGATCCGCGAGAGGGGCGCAGCCGCCACCTCTCACCCCGAGGCGGCCTGGGCTCACGTGGAGGAGGCTCTGGAGGCCGCTGGTCTCGGGGGCTTAGGCCCCTCTGGCCTCCAGGCTTCGAAGGTCGAGGCCCACGCCGCCCTTGCTGAGGTGCATAGGCTTGCCGCGTTCGAGGTGTCGACCGCGCGGCCAACGGGCGTGGCCGACCTGGCGGCCAAGGAGGCCCTACGGCCCCACCGCTCCCCGCCTGAGCTCGCCGATCGTTTCGCGCGGTGTGACACGATTGTCTCAGGCGTCGGGCGTTGGATCGCGATGGCGGGCACCGCCGCCGCCGAGCATGATACCTCTCACAAGATCACTTGTAAGCGCTCTGCGCCCACCGTCCAGTTGTGCGAGCCCGAAGTTGTGCACTCGGTGGCGTCGGTGGGCGGCGCCATGTGGTGCCGTACCTTTCGGCGTGTGGGGGTTACACCTGGGAGAGTGCGGGGGGAGCGTCCTGCCGAGGGCTGTCGCGGCGTCGCGGGCCTTCGTTGCTGATGGCCACCGTCCCCACAGGCTTCTGGAAGTCTCCTTCGCCTCTGGTGCCCCTGCCCCTTCCCACCCCGTCGTGGTGTGCGAAGCCTGTGGGTACGGTGCCAGTAATCGCGTCCTGGCCCCGTTCATCCCTCCTTGCAACCGCAAGCCCAGTGAGCACGGTGGTCGGACCCTCGAGCATCTGATCCAAGGTTTCATGCCTGGGTCTCGGAAAGGCTGCCACTTACTCGACCAGGCGTGTTCAGTTTATGTATTTCGCTGTGTTTCTCGATCGGCTTTCATGGATGACCATGTTCTTCGGGCAGTGTCTCGACGAGGAGGCGGAGGAGAACGAGGAAGGAGGAGGAGAACGAGGAAGGAGGAGGAGGAGGAGGAGGAGGAGGAGGAGGAGGAGGATACTGAGGAAGGAGGAGGAGGAGGACGAGGAGGGTGAGGAGGTTGAGGAGGAGGAGGAGGGAGGGAGGAGGAGGAGAAGGAGGAGGAGGAAGCGGAGGAGGAGGAGGGAGGAGGAGGAGGAGGAGAGGAGGAGGAGGAGGAGGAGGAGGAGAGGGAGGAGGGAGGAGGAGAGGATGGCGGGATGCGCGCGGTGCCCCCCCCCCCCCCACCCCCCCAGCCGGTCGCCGACCCCAGGCGGCCAGCCCCACCGCGGGGCCAGCTGCGGACGAGGCCTCGGCGCGCGCGCGCGCTCTCGGAGCCCCGGCGGCAAGCAGACGGCGCGAATAGGGGGCAACGTTCGGCACTGATGTTTTAACCCTTGTTTTGCCGATCCGCGGGCGACCCCCAGGAGGCGTCAGGAGGCCCCTTAGAAACCCCAAGAAGACCCGAAAGAGTTCCAAAATAGACCCCGAGGGCATTTTGAACAAAAACATGGAATTCCAGCATTCCTTTTTTAAAAATTCGCTTGGCAGCTGGGCTACGCTTGCAAGAAATGGAAATGTCCCATTTCCTCCTCCTCCTCCTCCTCCTCCTCTTCCTCCTCTTCTTCTCCCTCCTCCTCCTCCTCCTCCTGTTCCTCCTCCTCTGCGGCCTCCGCCATCTTCTCCAACTCCTCCTCCTCCTCCTCCTTCTCCTCCTCCTCCTCCTCCTCCTCCTCCTCCTCCTCCTCCTCCTCCTCCTCCTCCTCCTCCTCCTCCTCCTCCTCCTCCCCTAGGGAACCCCTTCGCCTCCCCTTTTCCTCCCTCTTCCTCTGACTACGTCCAGCCGCGGCGAAGAGAAGCGCCCCCGAGGTGCCTCTTGGGCCTGTCTTAGGCCACCGTGGGTGGACCGTAGGAAGTCTTTGAAGCCACCTGGGCTGCCTTCGTGGTTCCTGGAAGCCCTGGAGAAGAAGCATCATAACATAGAGCTCCCCGAGGGTTCGACCAGTCAGCCTAGCTAGAATTTGAGCGCGCGCGAAGCGCGCGCGATGGTATATATACACATGTGTGTGACTGTGTGTGTGTGTGTGGCCGCGCGCAGGCCGAGGAGGACGTCTCGGGGCTGGTGACCTCTGCGACCATCGCCGCGCTGGCCCCCACGCGCAGCTCCCGCGGCTCCCGCGAGGCGCCGCGGCGGGGCCCCGCGCGCAAGGTCTCGGACAGCTCCGACGAGCCCGCCGCGGCCGCGCCCCGGCGCGGCCCGCCGGACGACTCAGACTCCGACGGCGTGGCCGCGCGCAAGAGGTCGTCGGAGCCGGCGGAGGAGCCGGGCGCCGAGGTATGAGCGCCGAAAGAATCGGGCCGAACGAAAGGGGGGGATAGGGAAAGGGGGGGTTATGACATCTGCTGCATGCAGCTGGTTTCGGCCCCGCCGTCGGGCCCATTCCTCGATACAGGGGCGCCTCCTGGCGCCGGGAGGCGTTGGGAAATCAGCCACGTGAGCTGATTCTCTATCCTACCCTTTGCTATCCCCCCCTTTCGTTCCCCCGGAAGAAGATGAGGTCGACTGCGCCGAGACAGTGGCGCGCAAGCTGCCCGCGCAAGGTCGCGCGCGAGCGCCCGCGCCTCCCATGCAGCGTGGGGCGCTGGCGGCTCGCGCGGGCCGCGGCGGCAGGTCGCTGCGTCATCTCGCGTGAGACCCTGTTCTGGCCGTCGCTCATCTGTGCCCAGGCATGCACCGTCCTGAAAACATCGGGATGGCGTTTTTTTGTTTTTCTCCAAGTTTCGGTCTCCGGAGGGCCCCGACTTCCGCGGAGCAAGAAGCGGCGCAAGCATAAACTTGTCGGAGCTCCGCGAGGATTTCCTGGGTCGGCGCCCAGGCCCCCTTGGCGGCGCCCCCAGCGCCGCCCCTGTCGCGCTCTAGGAGTGGGTCCAGCGCAGATCGCAGAAATCCGCGCGGAGTTTCAAATTGTTATGTTCATGCTCTTTTTTGTTTCTCTATGCCTGGTCTCCGTCCAGGGCATGGGCAAGACGACCCAGGATGAAACGCGGGCCTTCTCTTGGGACCGCACATGGATAGAACGAGTCAGAAGAAAGCTCGTCGCAGTCGGCACGAATCCTCTCTCTCTCGCGAGGTGGGCTCCAGCCTGCTGCTCCGCTCGAGCTTTGCTAGATTTGGATCCCTTCGTCGCACTGATGCTCGGACGCGTGACCTGAGGCAAATGCGGGGCAGAGATGAGAGATCGCTGAAGCAATTGCTCTCCTGACCCGTGCAAGGTGAGCTCAAGTCCGAGGTGAGCCCCCCAGGGGACGTCAGACCGAGCTTCAATAGATGAGCTCTACGGCAGGCAACTCTCTGACGCCAAAACAACATCGATGTGCGAACTACCTGCACTCCCGACGAAAGTGTAGTCAACATTCGACTGCCTGACGTGACCCCCTACACGCTAAACGAATCTAGACTGCCGAAATTGATGAACTCCGATGTTGAAATCTCCTATGACGAGCCATGGGAGATGGAGCATCTGCAACAACGCTCCGAGCCTTGCATATCGCTGAGCATTGGCCCCCCCGAAGGCGATCGAGGGGTGCGCGTAAAAAAAGATGAGAACGATGGAGCACCTCGGCAATGCACCACCGACGGAAGGCACCCGTCGAAGGCGTCGGCGCCGTCGGCACACAGAGACGTCGCTTCGGACGCATTGGCAAAAAGACGGTGCACTCGGCGGTGGCCTGGCGCCCATAACGCCTCACCGCCCTCGTTGGCCCTCTGCTCCGCTGACTGACTGAGGCCCTTGCCCGTGCTCCGAGCCATGTTGTCGAGGTATCTCCACTTCAACTGTCTAGATCTCCTCGCCCACTTCGACCGATTGGGGCACCCGGCGTGAGTCTCGACAGCTCTCACCAGATCAGACCCCGACATGATCTCCTTCGCGCTCAGGAAGGACCACGACTTTTTCCCAAGACACGTACTGTTGGAAAAAAAACATCTTGACCGAAGATGAAGTTTGCGGCTCTGCATCAGAAGAACGAGCACCACCCGCCTCTGCTAAAGTTGGTGGCGCCCCTGACGGCTCCGATGAAGTAGAAGACAAAGGCGCATCCGTCGCTAGAAGTGTTCCTTCATCAGGCGATTCCGAAGATGAGGAGGAAGGCACTGCTGCGACGGCCCCAGCTTCGACCCCGACCGAACCATCAACTGGAACGTCGACACCGTCGGATCCCCCGCCGCAGCGCCTCTTCTTGATCATCCGCTCAGTGACCTGTTTCTTCAATGCTTCGGCGTCAGGCCTCCACTTGGCCACCTCTTCTGCCTTGGTGAGGGCCGACTCCCAAGCTGCCTTCAGCTCCGCCTCCACCTTGCGGAGGGATTCCTTCTCCTCCGCGCTGCACTAGAGAGTCTCCAGCTGCTGAAAGAACCCTGCGTCCCAGGTGAAGTTGAACACCGGCTCCTCACCTTTGGATTACTCATCAGTCGTGACTGCGCCCGCCTCCTTCGCCAGCGCCTGTGCCGCGCCTCGGCGGTTGATCTCCGCCAAGGCGAGAGCACGAGCTGCCTCGGCCTCCTCCTCACGGGCCTTGGCGAGGTTGAGCTCCATCCAGCCGCTGGACCTGCTGCGCCGCCTGCGTGTACTTCGCCCTGTCGTCCCGCCATGCGCTTGCCGCTCGCCGAACGGCCTCTTCTGCTCCCAGCAGCTTGCCCGCCTGCACGGCGGCGGCTCGCTGGGTCACTCTCGTCGTCAATTCTGTCGAACACTGCAAGCTTGTGACCATTCGGCTGCTCTGTTAGCTTAGCCAGACGAGCTGCATTGCCTGGGCACGGCTCCTTGGCTCTGGAA